GACAGATGAGTTTAGCCTTGTGGGACAAGAGGTATTATCATTGCTAATGTCTTACATGTTGATGAGTTTGGGAACATTAGGAAGTAAGGGGAGCATCTCTAAATGATAAGTCAGCCCTGGGAGTACTCCATGATACTCCAGGTTCACTGGAGGATAAACAGCTAAGGAGTAGTGACACCAGACCCAGTGAAATTTTGTAGGTACAGAACATAATATACTTAGGTCCAGAAAGCAGCCCTCAAGGCCAGTATATTAAGAATAATAGCATATGTGCAGCAGACACAGGGATTTAAAATGATGCTAATCTCAGTATGGATTGAACTATTCGCTTAAAGCTGTTATTTTTATTCCTGTCCTCTGAAATACTAGTTTGGAGGATGAGATAGAATGATATGTGATTTCTTCCCCACCCCACTCTGGGCTGTAGCTGCTGGCATGAGGAAATAGAGAAAGGCTCAATATTAACTTTTAAACTTCAAAAGGTGGTCTGCTTTGTACTCAGGAAGTTTGTGTGAGATTCTTATGCAAAGGAAACTCCAGACCAGGTATCTTGATTGTAACATCCTACTGCTTCACAATGGAGTCATAAAACTTAAGACTCTTCCTCCCACTCCCACATAATGCTGAATCCCCTTGAAAACATAGCAAGTAGGCAATCTTAGTTCTGCTTGAACATCATCAGTAATGGGAAACTCATTTCTTCCCAAAAATAGTCCCTTGAATTGTGATCAACTCTATTTGTTAGAAAGTCTTTCCTCATATTGATCTAAAAATCCAACACCATGTAACTTTTACATACTGGCCCTAGCTCTGAAGTTAGAAACTAAGCCTAATCTCCCACACTACAGCCCTTCAGATCTAAAAACTGTTCTCATGTTTTCCCTCTAAGAACTTTTTAGTTAACTCTAAATATCCCCAGTTCCAATTGTTGTATCCCCCTCAGCATCCTTGTCACTCTGTGGCTCCACAGAATTGGACACAGCACTCTAGATGCTCGTGCAACCTAAGATTACATTAGCTATGGGGACTTCAACATACGAATTTTGGAGGGACCCAATTCAACCCGTAGCAGTCATACATAGCTTTTTTCTGAATTTTTAGAGTACCATTCTTTTAAAGTTTAAAGTACAAACTTCATTCTTTTCATCATTTCTTTCTCAGTGAATTTGAACTAAAAGATAGCATAGTGTCTTTCTCCTAAGATTCCTGCTATTTCTGCTGCCAAGAACTCTTGTCAGAATTTGGTTCAAGGTTGCAGTTCCTCTTATTGCTTTATTTACCATCTGAAAGTTTATATTGTGAGCAAGGCAAGTCAATAATTTTCCCATTTAATTTTTAATAAAATGCATCTTCCAGCAGATGTCTAGTTAGTTGGAATCCTCCCTCTCTATACCCTGCTTTTGTATTTTGCTTTTGTAAACTTCCTCATGTTATGTATTCCTACATTTGGCTTGTAATATAAATTTCAGCTATAAAACTTTCTCTCCTTTTATGTTGGTACCTAAGGCCCATGGATTTTCACCACTCTGTTTCAAACACATGATCTTCTCTTTTTTTATATTGGCCTCAGGTTCATGGCTTCTTTTATCTAAGGGATCCCCTCTAGTGTTTACATTCATTATCATGAGTCCCTTCTTTGCTAGTCTCAAAGGTACCTGGAAGGCTATATTTACCTCTTTCAGTTAAAATCTCCTATTTAATTTCTTTATAACCCATTATATGCATATCTGAGGCTATAATTATTTCTGTTACCCTTCTCAAATATTTTTTGCTGAAAATTACTGTGATCTTAGAGTGTTTTCTTATGACAGTGTTTTGCTCCTAACCAGGTACGTGTTATTCTGGCATCTTAAGCTAGGATCCAGAAACGCAAATCTCATTCTTTTACCCCATCTCTTAACTCTTCACTCCTAAAGGCTTCCAAATCTCCCAGAGTCCCAGCAACTAATTAGAAGAAGAGATACTGCTGTTTCCTGACATCTACAACATGCCCTACCATCCCTAGAGCTGCCTTCTGTGTCTCTTCTGATAGTTTCATTTCTCCTCATAAAAAAATAGCAGGAATTGACTGGGATAAGCAAGTTTGGGAAGTCTCAGAAGATTCCTTATTACATGAATATGACAAGCAGGACACACATTCAGATCAACCAGGGCTAGACTAGACATAGAAACTTCCATGTCCTGAAGTAGTTCATTTTCTTGTACCTACCTGCATTCTTCCAGAGAGCTAAGTACCACTTCCCTGGAAGTTCCTAATTTACCAGGTGTGGGAAGAGCCTCCTATCTCTTAATTCTTCCTCTTAACTTTCTTCTTTTTTCTCTTCTACTTTCACTATTTTTTTCATTCCTTCCATTGTTGTACAGTCTTAGTTCCTGTTTTTCTTCTAATGTTATTTCTACTGTGTGCCCTTCCTGCTCTGATGACCCAGAGTTGAGATTGACTACCTCTTTTTTCAATCAGGGTGATCACTTTGCATTCAGCATGCATGTTGATGACTTCCTAAGGCAGGGGATACATACTTTTTTTACATAAGCACCACTTACAAAAAAAATTCAGGTGTGAAGAGATCACATTTCATTTAAATTTAAAATAGATTTTGAGCCACATGGGGGAAAGCACATATACTTACGACTTGGATAAATCACTTTGTTGAGGTGACTTCCTAAGGCAGGGGATACATACTTTTTTTTACATAAGCACCACTTACAAAAAAAATTCAGGTGTGAAGAGATCACATTTCATTTAAATTTAAAATGGATTTTGAGCCACATGGGGGAAAGCACATATACTTACGACTTGGATAAATCACTTTGTTGAGTAAAAAAATGCCATGAGAAAATTGGTACTGCCTCTTAAATACCAAAATGCAATAGCTGGCCATATTTGAGAAGTAGCCACAAGGAGGCAGCTTTTTAATTTTTCATCCTTTATATTTTCATGGCCCTTTATATTCCTCTACATGTATTATTTTATCCTTGAAATAACCTCCATGATAGGTATTTAAAAGAGGCCCGGAGAGATTAAGTGACTTGGCCAAGGTCACACAGCAAGTAGCAGTATAACTGGGACTAGAATTAATTTAGTGTTACACCATTTCAGTGCAACGTTTACTGAATATATCTTGTGTCTCATGCACTAGGCTGGGCGTAAAGTCACATTGTTAAATGAAGTAACCCATTCCCACATCCAAGCATCTCTTTTTCTTCTCTCCTTTGGTCTGAACAGAGTGGAGGGAATAATACCAGTGCTTAGGAAATACTCATGCTCTGAACAATGTTCGTCCCATGCAGGGAATGAACTGCATCATTTCTTCCCTGAAGGAGTCCCATTAGCCATTTCCTACTGGACAGGTCTAGGGTCACATGGTTGCTCAGGTTGCAATTTATTAAGAGTTTAGTTTCGTTACATTCAAATTCAAGCCACAGCCCAACTACATACCATATGATATTAAGCAAATTAGGAAACTTCAATTCTCAGTGTCCTCATCTATAAAATGGAGATAAACAGTACCTAGCTTTAGGGTAGTTATGAGGAATAAATGAAATAATATTTGTAAAACACTTAACTTAGTAACTAGCTTATAGTAGTTCAATAAAGTAGGAGTTCAATAAATGTTAGTTGCCATTATTGTTGTTGTTGTTATCATTGCTCTTGCCCAATATTCTGATGAAATGGGAAGAAAGTCTATATTGGCACTTAAATTGCCTTGTGCCTCACTGACCTAAGGCAAGAAGATAGAAGGCATATGCTCAAGGCAAGAAGATAGAAGGCATATGCTCAAGGCAAGAAGATAGAAGGCATATGCTCAAGGTCTAGGCCAATAACTTTCAAACATTTTTGATCATGACTCACAGCAAGAAATACATTTTATAACCATATAGACACATTCATTTTGTATCACAATTCAAGTAGTACTGAGTCACAATGCAAAATGTATATAAACAAAAACAAAAGTTTCATGAAACAATATTCATCTATACTACATACAGTGCACAATTGTAATCTGTTTCACTTTTTTAAAAAAATACTGATTTGGGCCGGCCCAGTGGTGCACTGGAGAGTGCGCCACTTGGGAGCGCAGCGGCGCTCCCACTGAGGGTTCGGATCCCATGTGGAGACCGGTTCCCGCTCACTGGCTGAGCGCGGTGCGGGCGCAACACCGAGGGTTGCGATCCCGTTGCTGGTCCCCGGTACGGGCGCGACACTGAGGGTTGCGATCCCATTACCGGTCAGTAAAAAAGACAAAAAGGAAAAAAAAAATACTGATTTGGCCTACTAAGGGGGATCTTGTAATTTGGAAAAACAGTACTCTCAACCCTTTGCCAGTTGCAAATGCTGAGGACATCTAAGAATCACTCAGGAAATCTAAAGAGACCTCACCACCAATGCAGTAGTGTAATTCCTTTGGTTAAAATGACTTCCAGATGGGATTTGGGATTACAGTTCTCAAAACCCTCTGCTGCCCCCATGTCAGTGCACACATTTTATCATTGCTGATTTTCTGCTATGTGATAAATGCTTGGCAGTTTTTCATTAATGGACCCCTATTTGGGGACGTGTTTATTGTTTTTTGTTCAATATCCCTCTTCTCACCTTCCAGTGAAAATAATTGAATTGAAGATAGAGTAGAGAGTCACAACAGCTCACGCTGACTGTATTGATTTGCAAAAAGAAAATAATCAGCAAATGCTTTAAATGCCTGTATATCAGGCTCTCAGCAAGGATACAAGAATAAACATGATTAGGTTTCTGCCCTTGCAAGCACACAATCTTGTAGAATAAAAGAATATGCAAGTAATCACAATGCAATGTGATTAGAGTTCCAGTAGAGCTCCCTACAACTCAGCACAGTCAGGAATGCCTTTCAGAGGAGTTAACATTGTACCTGGATCTTAAGGGATAAACAGAAGTTTGTCAGGTAAAGAAATGGGGGAAATCATTCCAGGCAAATAAGAAAGTGTGATGTGTTGAAGAAACAGCATCTCAGAATTAGGAACCACTCAAGCTTTACTATAATCTTCTTAGCATCTCATATTCCAATAGGAAAATTCACAATTTTAGCCGAAAGGAGAGCAGTCAATCAGCACATAGGAGGCCTTGTGCCTTTGCCATGCCATTGCAGGTCTTTGTTCTGTCTTGCAGTCACATTCTTTGTATGCTATCAGCCAGCATCTCTGTACCCCTTACTTTCTGACTTCCTTTGGCCGCTAAAACCATCAATGTCTTTCATTTCCTGCTTCCAAAGGAGTGCAGCAGGAACAAAAATCACTTCTAATGATTTTTCTTTTATCATATTCTTATGTTATGCTTTATGCAATTTTGTATTGTAGAGCTTAATAATATTGCTATTAAAATTTGCAATCCTGAATAAATGCAGAATCATTTTCCTTAATCAACATCAGCAATTCCTTTGCTCAGGAAGTGATGTGACTGCTCACCATTTTTGTTATTACCAGATAAAGTTTGCCGTAATCAGAAAACTCTTTCTGTTGGAAAAAAATATATTACTCAAATTACAAAAGTATTATCTCTTATACTGCCTATCATTTTGGTGCAAGTAGGAATATTAAGAGAAATCATTACTTCAGTCATCACAAGCTGCATTATTAGTGGTATTGAGTATTGTCACGAGATCATGGATTTTTGCTGCTCATAATTTATTTATTTATGGAAAAGAAATGTAATTTCCAAATGAAAAGAGAAGGAACATTGTGTGGCAATGCTTAATGCTCTACTGCAAAAACATGCCCTTAGTTATTCCAAATGGTTGCTAGAGCTTCACAGTTTCCTGGTGTAATGACCTTGCTCAGAGAACAAATATGTCGTACAACACTAGCATTTGCCAATCAGTCTCCTTCAGTTCTAAGGCCAGTATATTCCTAACATTTAGACACACCCAAAATTCTTTAATTTTATTATATGAACTTATTTCTGACTGAAGGACGAACTTCAAAAGCTTATTCCATTTGGTATAATTTTTTAGTGGCACCCTCTGCCATGCTGTCCATTTCATTGTGCTTATGGTATTTATAAACAAGTGCTTAAGTTTCATTTAACAGGCACTCAGTTCATCTTTTTTTGTGACTGCAGCTTTTTGTTTGTTAATTAAATGACTAGTTTTATTATAGTTACCTTTTCCCCCTATTAATTTGGTTTTTAAAATTAAATAGCCTATTTTTCTCTTATTCAATCTGCTCTGATGTCTGCTGCTATATACATTTCATTTCTCCTTCTGTCTTTAATCTTACCTACCAGTGCATGGGTACAGAGATAAATGTTTTACTCAGTCAAATCCCAAATCTTCAGCTAAGGGAAGAGTCCATAATCAAGGTACTGTATTATGTGTCCTGATATGTCACTCTTTCAAACCGTCTTCATATGAAAGCATACACGTTACAAATGACTTTTTCACAGTTGTTTGGCAAATTATATCCTTTATTCTCATCCACATTCTGAATTTCCTGTGACTCCATTTACAAAAATTTAACACTCGCCATTATATCTAAAAGAAGCTCATAAGTTATATGGAATGATTCATGTGTTTAAGCAGAAATGACCTATAAAACCTTTTCTTGGGAACTGGTCTCCTGACCCCATGCTTATAAAGAGAGAGAGAAGCAAATGTGACATTATCATGGTGACTTCTAGTCACCTAGAAACATGGTTTGATTTAACACTGGGCAACGATTAAAGCTTCTCAAAAGCATTTCCAGATCTAGAGAAGAAAACCCACTTAGGTAAGCAGTAGGGAGGTTCTGTACTCCTGTAACCCCATCACAGGGATGAACACCACAGTCTACAGACATTTATGAGGGCCTCCGTTGTTTTGAATGTGCTGCAGTGCCAGTCAAATTTGAGAATCAATATATGCCTTTCTGTTCAGACATTTAATATTTAATAGTCTCACTTGCATATAGAAATCCTTGACTTTTCTAATTAATATAATTAAGGCCAACTTACATCATGATACTTTTCTAGCAGTTTAGCTTGCGCTTTCTCTTAGAAGACATCTGCTTCTGAGTGTACATTTTAAGTAAGGCCTCCAAGATTCAGTGAAATGCACATTACTAAATTTATAACTTTTCATTATTTTTCATGGATACTGGAAATAAACTATAATATAATCTTTACTTGTTTAGGATTATCATTTTGGCATGATATACAAATATTCTAAATCCAGCTTCAGATTTGAGTAGGTTTATTAAGTTTCTATTTTATATCTTAATCAAGATTTCTTGTTGAATTGGCTAAATAAACAGAAGAATGTTTCTTCTTTCATGAAGCCCCAAGAAATTGAGTTACTCAGCATTCTTCCTAGGCTTCATTATTGCCTCATGCCTGCATTTTTTTGTTTCCAGTGTCAATGCACTCTTTCTACTTATGATCTCAGTATTATAAATACTGAATTTACATCAAAATATAAAAAGGAGATTGATTTGGGTGACTTCACAGGCCCTTCTGAGCCTAAGATCATGTGATTTTGAAATGCTATATTGAATAATGCTTATGTTGCAAAAGTAAATGTCAAATAACCAGTATGATTTATGATTACTTAGATTAGTTAACTTGCTGTTACCTTTAAAACTGTAGCTCCAGAGCATGCATCTTTTTCCCTGTTCAGGGGCATTCCCACATCAGATTATCTCACGTGATTCTTTTGGCTTTTGTGAAGGTGTGTGGGCAAGTCTTCGCTCTAGCACTCGCTTGATGAGCTCTCCAACATCCTTCATTGATGTTGGCTCCCGGCTGGCAGGCAAGGATCACTCGGCCTCCTTTAATAACAGCACCTACCTACAAAACCAGCTCTTGAAACGCCAAGCAGCTCTTTATGTATTTGGCGAAAAGTCACAACTAAGGGTAAGATTTCTTTTTCTCACTTAGAAACTTTATGATACATTAAGGCAGTTTATAAAACCTATGTTAGAAACCACCTTTCGGGCCACCCCGTGGCACACTCGGGAAAGTGCGGTGCCTGAGAGCACAGCGGCGCTCCTGCCGCAGGTTCAGATCCTGCATAGGGATGGCCAGTGCACTCACTGGCTGAGCACGGTGCGGGTGACACCAAGCCAAGGATTGCGATCCCCTTACCGGTCACACACAAAAAAAAAAGAAACCACGTTTCCCAGAAATTTTTTTATAGCGTCATTCTTAACCTAAAATTAATAATCTAAAAAAAAAAAATGTAGCTCTTCCTTTCTATGTATACACACACACATATTCATACATATATGAGTACATGTGTGTATGTGTAAGTATATTTACATATCAATACACATGCATATACACATGCATATTTATTAGCCATGAAGATAAATATTTACTCATAATCATAAAAAAATCAGTATAGGTTATCCTGTTAGCTCAGTTGCTTAAAGCACAGCCTTTTAACACCAAGGTCACGAGTTCAGATCCCTGTACTGGCCAGCCGCAAAAAAAAAAAAAAAAAAAAAAAACATCAGGAATATTAGGAAGTATCTGTCTAAAAAAGAAATATGGCTTATTCAGGCTGTTTTCTACTTTCTTGATTCAGTGTCTACAGGAATTTCTGTGCCTATGGCAAAACATGGTTTTGTTGTTGTAAACCTATTGATAAAAAAAGCTACTGGAAGGCGAGAGAAGGGTGGAGCGAGGAAGACTGTGGCAGTGTATATGGAGGCAAGGGAAGGCCAAGACTAGGTTTTCTAAGTAATGTTTCTTAAAACTTTGCAAGGGTGTATATAAGAGACGCATGTCCTAATACATGTCAGAAAATTCAAAATATTAAATGCTAATCAACTTATTTTTACTGTTAAATTATGCTAAAGAGCTTCACTATGCTGAGATTGCATAAATTGTAAAGATAGCCTCTACTTCCAAAAGCAATATAATTCCTTGAGTTTAAATTTCCTTTAATGTTTTGCATGTCATACATTACAAGATAAACTTAGTTACTACTGACAGGTGTGTCAGAAATGAAAGTATTTGTTAATTCAGAAATCCCTTCAAAGTTTAGTGCAGTGCTCCAGTTAGCAGTAGACAATCTAGACAGACCTTTGGCTGAACTGTGGTGCAGAGGCTGTGAGCAGGGTGCTCTCAGCAGGATCCCACATGCTTGGCCCTTAAGATGCCAGTGATTGAGTCATCTTCTCTTCTGAAGCAGGCTGGCTTTGCTAGGTCTTCTCCCACTACGTGGACTGCTGCAAGCACTTAATCACCAAACTTTAGGGTAGAGGGCATGAAACTGTTGGGTAATGCTCAGTTGTTAAATCTGCATATGTATCTTCTGATACAGCAGATAATTTTATATCCAGAAAATAGTTGGAACACTTTTTAACAGCAATCTAGGGCGGCCTGCACAGCCTTCTTGGCACCAGTGTGTTTTCCAAAGCACAGACTTTCTATACTTCAGCATGCTACTTACGTATCATCTGAATCACTCCCTGAGCTTTGTCTCCTGAGTGCTCACCTCTGTCATTTCCTTTGTATATCAGTCCTCAGATTAGCTGTGTGATCATGCATATTCGAGTAAGAAAGACTGACCACTTGGGACCCTTCCTTTCTTCCTTCCCTCCTTTCTTCCTTCCTTTTTGTTTGTCTTTCATCAATAAAGTATTATATTTTAAAAATGTAATTCCACTGTTCTGGCACAATAGTTGCTAGCAATTTTATGTACTCAATACAGACTTTGTGTTTTATTAACTCAGTTGTGTCTGTAGAGTATATTTGTCTGATGCTTGCCACATTCTAACTAGCACAGTGCTGTCCAATTGTAATTCTACACCTTTTTCTCCCAACAAAGGAAGCATAAAGGAAAGCCAGTAAATGACAGTGACTTATTCTAAAAGTAACCTTGAATTTGGCCTTCTTTACCTTTTCAAATTCACATACTTTAATACTTTATTAATAGTAACAAGTTCCTGGGCCGGCCCGGTGGCGCACTGCTACAGTGCACCGCTTGGGAAGTGCGGCAGGCGCTCCCGCCG